CCGTGACTTTTTTTAGACATGTTCTGCAGCAAAGTCTGCTTGGTATGCAAGGATGGTGCAGTCACCACACCCTCCTTGCACGCAGTGCTGGAGACTGAATGGACGATGGAATGGAGCTTCGTGTAAGCACTCTCCTGACTGAGCTACAACCCCAGTCCCTTAGTTATATTTTTATAAGCATCCTGAAAGATTGTCAAGGATGCAAACTGCTCGTCTCTTCTTATTTGGAGAGGAGGGGCAAAGCAAACCGACAATATTCTTCCCTAGGACAGAACAAGTTCTCAACTCCCAAACCAGGATTTATTGGTATGCTCCAAAATTGACATGGTGAGGTAAGGCCAGAATAGTCTCCTTATTAAAAAAAAAAAAATCAAGTAAATTAGATTAAGAAATGTCAGATTATATAACATAGGTTTGTCTTGTCTGCAAATGCATTGGCCTGGGTTCTTCTTCTTATGCACATGTCACAAACTAAGCAACAAACTAAGCATTGGATGCACGTCTGTAAACTCAGCACTGAGGAAGCGGAAGCAGGGAGATGGCTTGGGAGAATGGCTTGGACTTCATAGTGAGCTGCAGATCATCCTCCAGGTACACGGTGAGATCTTGTTCCAAAAAGGGGGTGAGGGAGGGGAGCAACAGATAGTCAGACAATTATGTTAGGTGCATGGCTTTAATCCCAGCACTCTCAGGAGGCAGAGGTAGTCAGAACTCTATGAGCTCGGGGCCCATCTCACTTACATAGGGAGTTCTAGGCCAGCCCAGGGACCGTGTCTCAAAAGAGCAAGCAAAACATTGGCTATTCAGCTTTATCGGTGAGAACATAATAGTAGGTATGGCTGGCTCTTGTAAATCGCAACCTTCCCGCAGGTTGAATTTTTGCTGCAGGTAAACAAAAGGTCACAAGTCCCAGAGTACAGAAACTTGGAGAATGCTCGAGGGCTTTCCCTTAACAGTGTGGAAAGGAGTAAACAACTGGGGTGGAGGGTGGGGGGTGAGGGGTGGGGGCAGATTCTGATCAGCCAAATAGTGGAAAGAAATACTTGACTCCCAAGCTGTCTGCAAACCGTGTAGAGTTCCAGCATTGCAGGTTTTCCGGGAGTCAATGTTACCCATTTGGGGGCAGGTTTTCTGGGGATGCAGCCTTTTTGAGTCACAAAACTGGACCCCTTTTGGGGGTGAGTGGACACATGTCTCTAAATGGAAAGTCCATCACTCAAATGTAGCTGTTGTCGACTCTGGTTTAACTGAATTTGAGACATATGGATGTTTATGTGTTTTGGGTAATGATAACACATATATGGAAGATGTGTATATTAGAATGGAACATATATATTCCATTTGAAATAGGGTCTCGTGTATCTCTGGCTCGCTACGTACAGAAAATAAACTTGAATTTTTGATTCTCTTTCCCTCACCTCCCCAGTGCTGGGACCATATGTATACACCACTACACTGAGTTTATATCGTTCTGGGGACCAAACCCAGGGCTTCCTTCACGCTAGGCAAGCAGTCTAACAACCGAACTACTACCCTTATAAAATGTATTTGTTGCCGTGAACTGGAAAAAGAAAGAAAGAGGGAGAGAAAAAGGAAAGAAAAAAAACCAGGCTCCATAATCAGGCAAAGTGTTCTTTGTGTGATCTGCGCAAACAAGAAATGAAAGAGCTTATCTCCTGTGCAAAACTCTCACCTTTACGCAGTTATAAGAAACAGGATAGGAGGGGGAAGAGACACAAATGGCAAGATTGCCGAGTGTTCAGTGTGGGAGTGGACAATTCTGGAGGGTCTCTCCGACTGACTACAATGGGGATGGCTCCCCCTGGAGTCGAGCAGGACATAACTGGTATAGTTCCACAAGGTAGCCCTTAAGTGAGAACAAAGCCTTTACAAAAAACCAAACAAAACAAAAACACCCAAACAAACCAAACCAACCAACCAGTATTATTAGGTATTTTAACTTACATCATCTTTCTCAAGCTTGATGGTTAAAATGTAGTTAGAAGTGTCATAATGCTTCCTTTCTTTTCCCTTTAAGACAGGGTCTTTCTATATAGTCCAGCCACAGGGGGCCTCCTGCCTCTGGATCCTTAGGTCTGAGATTAAAAGTACGCACCACACCAGATTATAATGCCTACTTTTAAATTGCAGAGTGAAATTCTCATATCTTGATGTAATGTGATTTTTTTCTAATCATCCTGAATATTTAGAAACCCCAACAATGTTATTTCAGATTTACTGATAATGTCAATTTATCATTGTATAACTTCAAAATTTAATAGAGAGTGTACAGCTTTTGAAGTCTAACAAATTTGGATTCTTATCCCCATATAATCCCAGACCATACATCCTAGGGTAGTTATTTAATACCCCTGAGCTTCAGTTTCCCAAAGCATATGTCATATAGCCTTAAGACCTGGTCCAGAGCCTTGGAGCTCTCTCAGTAAGTACATGTGCTAAATGGATTGAGCTAACGCAAATCAGCCGTGTAAGAACGTGGCAGCATACACCAAGTTCTTAGCATATGGCCTGAAAACTAGCACACAGTAAGTACACACATACCCAGAAAGGATCTACAAAAGACTTTAAGCATCTGGCTGTCTTGGCTCACTAGCGCTAGCCCACCCTCGGGAGTGCCTTTTTCCTTTCCTAATAAACTGTCTCTATTTGTTTCAAATGGCTGAGAGTCTGTCTGAGGCAGTAATATTCTTCAGGATGGAAAGGTACATATTGGGAGGACTTATTTTTCAAATAGCTAACACTATGCAAGGGAAAAAACAAGAGATTTCTCTTTTATATTATTTTTTGAGACAGGGTTTCATTAGCTCAAACTAAACTTTCATAAAAATATTTTTTTTTAAAAAAATCACTTTTTATTATCCTCCTTACTTTTCCTTCCAAGTGCTGGGATTAGAGTCAAGTGGTGACACCATGCCCAAGTTTATGCTCTGCTTGGTACAGAACCCAGGCTCTACTACATGACAAGGGAGCACTCTACCAAGCTATAACACCAGCCCCAAACCACACTGACTGTCTGTCTGTCTGTCTGTCTCTCTCTCTCTCTCTCTCTCTCTCTTGCTCTTTCATTCTCTTTCTCTCTCCCCCTCCCTTCCTTTCTTTCTGGGATTTTTAAAAAGAAATCCAGACACAGCAGGATGGGGATAATATTGAAATCTGAGACTATATATGGAACAAGTAAAAAGAAAAAATTAGTCGATGTCTATAATCCCCAAAACTCAGGAAGCTGAGGCAGGAGAATTGGGAGGTCGAGGCCTACCTGAAGATGTATATAGAGCCTGTAAATATTTTTTTTTAATTTTTTAAGAGGACAATGCACACATTTCGTTGTTTCTAACTGCACCGCAAGTAAAAACAGAGATTACTGATCACTCAAATAATTTTAAGGATGATATTTTCCTCAGCCAAGAACCAAGCAGGCAGGATTTCTGGGATTCACTCCTGGGCGGGGGAGGGGCGGGAGGGCGCGGGAGGGCGGGCCGCGCAAGAGAGGACTTAAGCTCCTTCCTCTGAGAGAACTTATTTCCTGGTGGAACTACGGTTTTGAGGCAACCATGACAACACTTCCCCCTTATTAGAGTCATCAGAAGGTCGCACTCCCCCACCCCCACCCGCAGCTCCTGCTGCCCACCTCCTGGCAGGAAGGTGGGAGCATTTATTCCCTCCAAAGAGATTGATGATAACCCGCCAAATAACATCCGTCCAGGGAGGGATGGATCTCTAAGCCCCAAAGTGAGGTCAGCCAGTGAACAGTTAGAAAAGCAATCATTTCTCACACTTGCTAATGGGTTTGACGCTTGTGAAACATAAACAGGAAGTGGGAGCTTGAGCGACCTGAAGGAAATGCACTCCCAGTTTGGTCAACGTGTGAATCCCAGTTCTCCAGGTCGTCAGAAAACTGCCAATTAAGGCTGACCCCTCAAAACTGAAGCCCGTCCTAGCAGTGACGTTATTTTCCCCCAGTTCCCTAAGCCAGGTCACTCCGCAGCGGGGTGACTGACCCCAAGCACGGTGGGGAAGGTTCACAGTCATCTCTCAACTCCCCGAGTTTGCAGGGCAGGGGAGCGCAGAGGTCAGTGAAATCCCCAGCCAGGCCTTATTTTAGTCATCAATTTCCACTGGCCCCTTGCTGTGTGTCAGCGTAGCTTACTGCGCTGCAGGTTCTGCGTTTCAGATGCTTTCCCAGCTCCGGGCTGTTAGAAGGTCAAAGAGACCAGACTTTTCCAAGGCAGGTGGGGGGAGGGGGCGGGGGGGGGGACCCCGCGGGGGAGGGGGAACCCGCTAAAGAGATTGCAGAGAGCTGGGGCCGCTGGAGCTACCTTTTGTGCCTCTCACGCACGGGCCTGCGAGTTAACCTCTACTACCTAAACGTCTTGGTTAGTATTAAATTAAAACCTCATCTTTTATTTTCTGCCAGTGGCCCCGATAGACTTTTTTTTTCTTCTGAAGGCTGTCTTCAGATTGGCCTCGTTGGCTCCTTCCCAAGGTCCCTGTAAATTCAAGGTCAAAATCCGTGTTGATTCTCCGCTGTCTCTAGCCGCAAGCACGACTCCTAACAATGGGAAAGGGGCTCAGCGAACGTGCACTTCATAAATGTGGAGATTTCACTGTGATCGACCAAGAGGTTTTTGGGTGCCGGTGCCGCGCCCCCCCCCCCCCCCCCCCGTTCTTTCTCCTCCTGTCCTGGAATAGACCGCCAACAGCGCCACCCACGTTCCTGGTTAGCAGCGGGATCTCATGCAGGCTGGCAGCCCCTGTGCTCGGGGGTCACAGCTTGGATGCCGGCGCGGAGAGGCTTGTAGGGAGCCGAGCTACGGCCCGCGTCCCGGCCACGTGAAGCGTCACGCCCCGCGCTGCTGCAGGGCAGGCGCCGTCGCCGCGGTTGTGTAACGCTGCAGCCGGAGGGGAGGCGACCCGGACGCCTCTGCTCCGGAGGGGGCAGAGGAGGGAGGGAACGCCGGGCACTGTGCCCGGTATCTTTCTGTGCTTGACTAGCCAGGGTGGGTGGGGGCAGTGAGGCACCCTGAAAGGCGGGAGGAGATGGGTGCGCGCCAGTCGGGTGCCGGGCCACCCGCAGGCTGCGCCCGGGAGCCGAGCTCCCGGGAGAGTGAGGGGCCGGCGCAGCTCACACGGTCCACGGTCAGGTGCGCGCGGCGTGCTCGGCGGCGGCCTCGGCTGCCCTAGCTCCTGGCCGCCAGCCTGCTTCCCATGGGGTGACATCCGCCCCGCCCTCGGTCCCTCCCCAAGGCGGGCAATTCCTGGACACTGGGCTGAGCGCTGGGGGGCTGGGAAGCGGGGACGGAAAGAAACCCCAGCCTCTGGGGAAGGCCAAGAGGGGGACGACGACTCCCTCCGCTGCACACCGGTTCCTAGGAGCGGGCCAGGCGGGGGAGGAGGAAGAGGGCTGGGCTGGAGCGACCGAGGGGATATTCCTCTCCCGGCTTGAGTCAGACGCGGGCGGATCCGTCCTCCCCCGTTCCCTCCCAGGAGACGGGAACTTACTTCATTTCCCTGGGGCAGGTTCGCCCACGTTACCAACCCCCCCCTCCGGTTCCTTCCAGCTTCCGTGCCCCTCACCCAGCTGGGCAGGACTCGGGCTGCGCTGCCACCCCCTCTTTCGGGGAAAGGAGGCCGCAGCCGCAGACACCTGGGGCCCGGGGAGGGGGGGCACTTCGCAGCCGCCTGAGCGTTGTCCAACACGTGAGACTCATGTGATGAAGCCGGGGGAGGGCGGGCAGGTCGCTCCTTCCCTCCCCGGCAGCGGCCAGACGTGCTTGGAGTCACAGGGTAGAACACGTAGCTTCTACCCACCCACTCGCTCCCATTTAACCCAGCCCGCAGCCTCTCCTTACTCCTCGGCTCGTCCCCTCCAACAACCCCCCCTCCCGCTCCGCCCTAAGCAACCCCCCTTCCCTCCCGCCTCCCAGCCCGCCCCACTTCTCATTCACTTGGCTCGCACGGCGCAGACAGCGCAGCGAGCACACACCGCCAGTCTGTGCGCAGAGCGGGAGCCAGAAGCCGCGGGGACACCCGGCCATGCACGCCCCCAACTAAGCGGTGCCTCAAAGCCCCGACTCCTGCCAGTCCAGCGCATTGCAAGGAAGCTCAGGCTAGCTCAGAGGAACATACCCCTTGAGACCCTCGGGTCCTGGCTTCCAGGGCAGTCCTTCCTCAGACGCTCTGCTAAGTGCAGACAGAAGCGCGCAGTGGCCCCGGCTCGCCGCATCATGGAGCGGATTCCCAGCGCGCAACCACCTCCAACCTGCCTGCCCAAAGCGCCAGGATTGGAGCATGGAGACTTGTCAGGGTAAGTGTGCAATGTGACCCCTTCAGGTCTCCGCTCCTAGCCTTGTGTTCTGCTCCGCTATCAACTTGAGGCACCTCTGGGAACATAGGGGGATTCTTGCATCAACACGGAGCCTGCAGCCAGTGCGCACTCGGGAGTCACGGCTCTTTCTGGCCCTTCTCCCAACAGGATGGATTTTGCCCACATGTACCAAGTGTACAAGTCCAGGCGGGGGATAAAACGGAGCGAGGACAGCAAGGTAGGTGCATCCCTGGGGACCCCCTTCCATAACCCCTCAAGTGCGCAGAGTTTCCAAGAAAAGTTTGCTTGTTTGGAGGTTTACTGGGGGATTCAAGATGTGGTGAGCTCATTGTCACAACTGAGTGACTTGGGAAAGACAGGGCAGAGAAGGTGATTCTGGGTGCGTCTCTGCGCCCTTGCAGGATTTATTTTCCTGCTGCCGGGCGGGGAGGAAGGGAGACTTTATGTTCCTTTCCCCAAGCACCCATCTCTTCCATGTACTCCTTGCAGGAAACTTACAAATTGCCGCATCGGCTGATTGAGAAAAAGAGACGTGACCGGATTAACGAGTGCATTGCCCAGCTGAAGGATCTCCTACCCGAACACCTCAAACTTACAGTAAGTGAGAAGCTGGCTGCGCTCCAACCCAGCTCTTCTGCCCAGAGGGCGGATGGGGGTCACTCGCCGCCTGCAGGCGTCACGTGGAACTGCAGGCTAGACGGGCGGTTCAAAGCTCCGGGTAGCTCTGGGTTGGAGGGAACCCATCACCAGTCCCAGGACCTCCAGACAGAGGCAGACAGAACCCTCTGGGGCCTTTTTAAGTTGGCTCCAACACTAGCACAGCTTCCTTTTGGTGATTTTTTTCACCGCCTTGTAGTTTGCCTGACTTAAAGGAGCAAACCACACACACACACACACACACACACAATTAAGCTCTTTTCCTTTTCCATCTTCCTTCCCTAAGATGACATACTTTTTAATGTGTGCTTTTTCTTCCCATCACACCCTTAAGTGGTAGCCAAAAGCTTTCTAGCTTTTCCTTAGGGAAAAGGATTTGGAAAGGAAGACGAAGAGCCTGCCTTAGCTGGACATTCTGAAAGGGTGTCCGGGAAACACACACACACACACACACACACACAGAGGGAAAGCCTCCGGGTTGCCAGACACAGTAGACGTCCCTCCCTGGGTTGACACCACAGCAGAGAAATGTTATCTCCGGAGTCCCCGGAGTTAAGGTCAGGCCAGCTGCTGGAGAAATCTATCTGTCAGCTCACTCCTGAGACTGTAACAGCTACCAAAATGCCCCCAGAGACAGATGACACGTGTTTAGTTTTTTGAATCCTTTGATCGTCTATATGTATATGTTCAAACATCTCCAAACTTGAAATGCAGTGAGACAGGAAAGGCTCTTCCTGTCTCTGTTGTTGTTTACACCCGGTTCTCATCACAAGTAAGTGTCTGCGGGGACTTCTCTGACCTCAGGGGTGACAGGAGTTCTTTGTCCCCCCCCCCCCCCCAGACTTTGGGTCACTTGGAGAAAGCGGTGGTTCTGGAGCTTACGCTGAAGCATGTGAAAGCACTGACCAATCTAATTGATCAGCAGCAGCAAAAAATCATTGCCCTTCAGAGCGGATTGCAAGCTGGTAAGTGCTGGGGTCTGATTAGTGTCTTCTCCCAAGAGTGTAGCACACAGAGCCCTGGACTCCCTGTGGCTTCTGCCCCACCTGCCACTGTTCACTTTTGCACATTCATCAGAGGAGTTGCTTTGTTAATTCTTTCCTAAAAGTCATTCTTTCCATTCGGAATGCCACTGTGTGCCACCGGGGATGAATACATGTTAGTTCAGTGATGAAACCTTCCTGTGACCATTTTGGCTTGAAAGTGTCTAGATTCTGGGAGACTTTCCCATTCCCCTTTAAAATGCCAAGGCACCTCTAGTTTGTGTTGGGGGTGTTTTACAGTTGGTCTTCTGAGCCCCTGATGATAGGTGAACAGAACACAGGTCTGCCCCCAGCATTTTCCTGTTTCTTTGTTTCGTTGCCTTTGGATGTGGGATGTAGTCTTGAGAGGATGACAGCAGGTTTTTTTCCCCCTGCATTTCATTGTGGTTCCCTGAATAGCCACTAGGTATCTTGGCAAATTGCACAATCTAACGAAACCACTGGTTTCATCATTTATTTCTATGGAATTTCAGAGACTCGGTGACACTGTCTTCTCTTTCCTCCAGATCGTACAGGTCAGGCCAGGGGGAATCCTTACACATACCCCTCAGGCGTTCTCTGTCCTGGCCAAGGCCAATATGAGAATCACAAAAAATAAGCTAGCATGTCTGCCAGCTTTCTTTCTAAATATAGAAAGTTGATCAGAACTGATCTCTAGGGGAGTCATGGATACAGTATGTGGAAAAGACTTACAAATAAAGAGTTTCCCAGTTAAAGTTCACAGGGGAAATGCAACTATTTGTTCAATAGGTTAGGTTTCTGTGTATACGGAAGTTGTTAGTTTTAGTTTTGTGGGTTTTATTTTTTACTGTTGTCCTCGCTCTGGTTTGTTCTTGTTTTGAGACAAGGTCTCAATCTGTAGTCCTGGCTTTCCTAAAATTCAGGAGCAATCCTCCAGCTTCCAACCTCCCACGTGGCGGGATTCCGGGCATGAGCTATAGCTTTTACGGCACAACGATGCACGCCTCTAGTCCTAGCACTTGAGAGGCAGATAGAGCCCCATAAGTTCAAGGCCAACCTGTTTTGCATAGTCAATTCCCAAGCCATCTAAGACAAAATAGGGAAACCCTGTCTTTACAAGGGGGAGATGTTTCTTTAGGTGGTATTGTTTCTGTATTGTGTATGACTGCTAGCCGCCTTCTTTCTTGAGACGGTTACTATACTAGTTGACTGGAGATGGGTGTGGTAGCTCAGCCTTATAGTCCCGGCACTCTTGAAAGTTAAGATAGGCTCAATATGAATTCAAGACCAGCCTAGGTTGCAGAGTAAACCCAACATCAATCTAGGCTAGAACGAGGCTGCCTTGGAAGAAAAAATAAGTATGATTGTTGAACTTATAAATACACTAGCATGTTCACTGTTTTGTGTCACAAGGAAAACTACAGATACTAACCTACAAGTCAACAAGAGTAGAAATAACTCAGTCTATTTTTCTGCGATGCTATAAAGGCATTAAAATCCTGTTTGGGGACAGGGGAATGTATGGAGCCTCTTGACACCCTATTGTGCTTAGTATCAAAGCCCAAGCATATAAGAAAATAAACTGTCTCTAAGTGGTAGGGATGTGTGGATTTCATGTTTTATACTTGTCAGCATAATTCTATAGACATACTACTTTTGGAGTTGGAAATAAATTGATTGACAGTTTTGTTTTTTGTTTTTGTTTTTTTTTTTTTTTTTACAAACCTTCTAAAAGCCTTCTTTCTGGGTCTTTTTTTCCAGGCGAGCTGTCGGGAAGAAATATCGAAGCAGGACAAGAAATGTTCTGCTCAGGTTTCCAGACGTGTGCCCGGGAGGTGCTTCAGTACCTGGCCAAGCACGAGAACACTCGGGACCTGAAGTCTTCCCAGCTTGTCACTCATCTCCACCGCGTGGTTGCTGAGCTGCTGCAGGGTGGTACTTCCAGGAAGCCATCGGACTCGGCTCCCAAAGCCACGGACTTCAAAGAGAAACCCAGCTTTCTGGCCAAGGGATCGGAAGGGCCTGGGAAAAACTGTGTGCCAGTCATCCAGCGGACTTTTGCCCCCTCGAGTGGGGAGCAGAGCGGCAGTGACACGGACACAGACAGTGGCTACGGAGGGGAACTGGAGAAGGGTGACTTGCGCAGTGACCAATCGTACTTCAAAAGCGATCACAGCCGCAGGTTCACCGTGGGAGACCGAGTGAGCACAATTAAACAAGAATCTGAAGAGCCCCCCACCAAAAAGAGCCGAATGCAGCTCTCAGATGAGGAAGGCCACTTCGCTGGCAGTGACCTGATGGGTTCCCCATTTCTGGGCCCGCACCCACATCAGCCTCCCTTTTGCCTGCCCTTCTATCTCATCCCACCGTCGGCAACTGCCTACCTGCCTATGCTGGAGAAATGCTGGTACCCCACCTCTGTGCCGGTCTTATACCCAGGCCTCAACACCTCGGCAGCAGCCCTCTCCAGCTTCATGAACCCAGACAAGATCCCGACTCCCTTGCTCCTGCCCCAGAGACTCCCTTCTCCCTTGGCACATTCATCCCTCGACTCTTCAGCCTTGCTCCAGGCTCTGAAGCAGATCCCCCCTTTAAACTTAGAAACCAAAGACTGAACTCTTAAAAGAGATCTCCTGCTGCTTTGCTTTCCTTCCTCCCTAATTCCAAAACCACAAAGGTCGGCCCACCGTGCAGACCCACATAAAAGATTCGGAATGTGAGTGAGTGTGTGCGCGTGCGTGCTTGTGTGTGTGTGTGTGTGTGTGTGTGTGTGTATAGGACATTAAGTTCCTTCTGACACAGGGAAGACATGAAAGGGATGACCTAACATCAGATGACAGGACTGTAGCAGTCAGTCCTCTGGGCTTTTCCCTACCCATAGAAGAGCCCCCTTTGATACAAATCAGTTGGATTTTCATAAGCTTCAAAAGCTCCATCTGTGAGTCACTCCAGTTTGGGAGCTGGGTCTGTCTGTGGCTTTGAGAAAAGGTAGTTTCAAACGAGGACTTTCCAGAGCTCAGCTTCCAGCCAGCTGTTAGGACCCCACCCTTCTCTCTTTATTGTCGAGGTGACTCAGAGCCGACTGACAGTGGTCAGACCAAGCTCTCTGCTAAGGTGGTGAGGTAGGCGACGCTGGCATGTCACGGTAGTGGTTTGGGCAAATTTCTGCAGGTCTCCTCCCCCACTCCTGCCTCCAATGAATAAAGACAATGTATACAGTTCCCTAACTCAGGCTTTTGTGGTGATTAGCTTACTACGGAACTGAAAATGGCCCCCTTTGTACAAGCTGGGCTGCTAGGGAACCAAGGTGGACCAGACCGGTCCCAGACCTGTGGCACCTGTTTTCGAGGTCTCTCTTCTACCTTGAGCCGTCCAGGAAACCAAAGGAGGGTCTCAGAGATGGTAGATGCCCTGAGTGTCCCAAAGTGTACAAAGCTAAGTCACCAATTGCTACACTTACTCCTCAGCTAGACTCGGATCTCAAGTCCTTCCTCAAGCTTCGAACCAAGCTGAGCTTCTCCAAGGCAGAGCTTTGGCATCCCGAGATCCTTTCTGTAGGCTAATTCCTCTTGCCCGGCAGCATATGGAGTGGCCCTATTGCTAAAAAGGATTCTGTCTCCTTTAAGGAAGTTTTATTTTTGATCCAGAGTCCTTGTTTTCTTGACTTGCTCAGCCAGCCCTGCACCAGCTTCTCGAAATGCACTATGCTTGTGTTTTAACTTCTTTTCCCATTTTTATTTGGGCATAAAAAATCGTTGCCTTTATTTGTAAAGCTGTTATAAATATATATTATATAAATATATGACAAAGGAAAATGTTTCAGAGGTCTATTTGTATAATTACTTGATCTACACAGTGAGAAAAATGAATGTATTCCTGTTTTTGAAGAGAAGAATAATTCTTTTTCTCTAGAGAGAGGAGAGGTTACAGTGTTTATATTTTGGAACCTTCCTGAAGGTGTGAAACTGTAAATATTTTTATCTAAGTAAATGTTAAGTAGTTGTTTTAAAAATACTTAATAAAATAATCTTTTTCCTGTGGAAGAGAAATGGTCTCCTTGGTTTTAAAGATACCCTAGTGTCATGGTTCTTCCTTCATCCCCTTGCTTGAAGACAGTGCCTACTTAGTCTCCGTATAATTGCTTTTCATGTGCCTGGCATTATGAATAAGCCAAGTCCATGTAGTCGGTAAATGCTGGATTATTTTTGTTTTATTTATTTATTCATTCATTTTGAGGCAGGGACACATGTAATAGCCCATGCTGGTATTAAATTTGATTTGTAGCCATGGCTGGCGTCGAACGGATCTCCTGTTTCCACCTTCTGAAGGCCGAGATCACAGTCAGGCTTCCTGGAGCAGTAGAGGCATGCCTCTGGCCCCCACCCCTGGTTTTATGTAGTGCTGGGGATTGAACTCAGGGCCTCACACATCTTAGGCAAGCACTCTGCCAATGAGCCACATCCTCAGTCCTTATTATTTTTTCATGAACTCTTGCCAGGGATCTGCACTCATCCTATCCCTGTTTCCAGAGGTAAGCAACAATCACGTACCCCACGCAGCTTTGGAACTTGAAGAGAAAATCCAGGGTACAAGCTCATGGGCTGGAGTGTCTGGGGAGGCTGCCATAGGGCTGTGCACATTGAGGAAAGATTTAATGGATTATTAAGCAATAATAAATGGTTGGCCATAGTGCGTCTTTCCCAAGGCAGGCTATCACTTTGAAATCTAGAAAGTTCTAATGGATTCCCCATACAGTGCTGCTGAAGGCAACAGTCCATAATTATTTTCTACGGTCTTCCAACTTCTTCTCTGGGTGTGTGCAGGAATGACTATCGGTGCTCTTATTTAAAAATAATAATTAGGTGGGAAATGGCCCAGCTGAGTATTTTTGCTTTCTTCTCATCGTCTTGATTTGTCCTGAGGTTTCCCAATGGACATGATCCAGGCCCCAGAGTATCTGAATCATCCAGAATTGTCTAACTGTCTGGAGTACTCCCCTCCAGGGAAGCCAACCCCAGAGAGTCTCAGCACCACCTGCCTTTCAAACATCACCTCTGACTCCCGGGGGGTCTGTAAATGAAATTGAGTGTTCAGTGCCCGATGGAAGGGCACAACTGTCTCCAAGTCACACAGTGCTGGGCAGGAGCCTGGACCTGGGGGGACTGAGGCCTCTAAAACCCGGTGTTCTATCAAGACCCTCTCATGCCTGTCCTGACTAGACATTTAAGGACTTTGAGTCTTACACTAGTTTTTGGTTCAGATGGTCCCTAAGTCCTGCCTTAGGTAGACTGCTCTTGCAGCCCTCGGGCCTGCTAAACCCACCCCCCAACTCTCTCCCAACCTATGACTCAGGGAGTAGCTGTGGACTGCAGGAAGTGGTTCGAGCACCCTGAACTAAGAATAGATTTGAGGGCTGCATAGGCTGACAACCCAGAATGTCTCTTCTGGAGGCTGCCACGTGAAGCCCCTCAGAGGCGCAGCTGCCCGTCTGTTTTTCTGCCTCCAGAGCGTCCTGAACTTTTCCAAAGCAGGGTTTCGGGAGAGGATCCAAGGGTGTTCAGGAAGGTGTGTGAAGTGGCTCACATCCCAGCCTTCAGCCCGGTTGGGGACAAAGAAGGCCTCTGTTGAAACGGGTGTGTGTGAGAGAGAGAGCCGTGAGGGGTGAAGCATGACTCTGGGGCCAAGAAGCGCAGAGGCCTGGGATCTGGCCGCCTTCAGTCAGGGCGTGCTCGGCGGGGCTGCCGGGATGGTCTCACCCAGCGCTGACCTGCCGCGCCTGTTGACACGACGTCACGTTTCCGACTAGAGCCTTTCATGTGCGGCCCGCGGCTAAATGCGGCTGCCGGTTCCTGGAAGCAGACGTGCCTGGCACCGCGTCAGCAGAAACCCGATCCCCGGGGAAGTTTGGCAAGGCTTCGGGATCGCTCGGTCCCCAGAAATAGGGCCTGGCTGCGGGCAAGGCCGCGGCCCCCTGGTGCGCAGCGGGACAGAATCCGAGGGCAGGGAGGGGAGGGAGCGCAGGGTGGGGCAGGAGCTGGTTTCAGGCAGAGCTTTGGATCCTAGGCCTAATTAACTGGGATCGACAAGCTTCCCACGGCTCATCCCTCGCTAATGCAACCCTCACAACCTAGAAGTCATAATAATGTATTTGGTAGACAGATCAAAGCGCGCGCAGACAAGGGAGGTAGCTCGCCCATGGTCACCCAGCTTCGGAGTGGAGTAGTGGTCCCTGTGGGCTTTGTGGAACTGTTCCAGAGAATCAAGGAGACAGCGTTCACAGAGCCTAGTCCTGAATCGCGTCTGTAGTATTTACTATGTGCCGGGCAGGCACTCTTCAGAGCACTCCCAGTACAAGGACAAGGATACAATGATCCCCGTGCAAGGACACAATGATCACAGCACCTGCCTGGAGTAGATACAATCCTCCTCATGATTCTGAGAATGAAATGAAGACACTGAGAAGTTAAGTACTTGCTCAGAGTCACTCAGCTCCGGTAGTAAAATGCAAATTAAACCTAAGCATTTAGGTTGTGGAGTGTATGGCTTAACTACAAAATTACATTGTCCTTCTTGTTACATTAGCAGTTAAAAAAGTAAAAATAAAAAAAAATAGTAAAAGTCGTAATAATTACAATCATTGCATTATTTTGAATATTTTCCTTGTTCTAGGACCTCTATTAAGCATTTTGTGTGACTCTCTTTCTGGTTTTTGTTTTTGAGACAGGGTCTCATGTAGCCCAGGCTGCCTCCTTGTAACCAAGAATTTGTCAGCCTCCTTGGCACCAGCATTAGAGCCATGAGCTGGCTAAATTCAACTTCTCGTAGCAGCTGTGGAGAGTGGGCAATAATATGCCACTACCCCGACTTTTAAAACTTAAAATAAGGGCCCACTCTGTAGCCCTGGCTGGCCTCAAACTCATGATCTTCCTGCCTCAGCCTCTAAGTGCTGGGATTAGACTATGCCCACTGTGCCCAGCTAAAGCAATTCAAACCATTTTAAAATTGCATTTATTTATTTATTTATTTATTTATTTATTTGGGCAAGATACATGTTATGGTGGGGGGTGCAGTCAGAGGACAAAGTGTGAGAATTGGTTCTTTCCGTCCACCTTGTGAGTCCTGGACAGTGAACTTGGGTCATCGGGTTTGGCAGTAAATGCCTTAACCCACTGAGCCCACTTTTAAACAAAACTTTTTTTCCCATTTATTTTTACTTTATGTATACGAATGGTTTGCCTTTGGAGGCCAGATGAGGGCATCAGATGCCAGGAAACTCGAGTTCGAGATGGTTGTGAGCTACCATTTAGGTGCTGAGAACTGAACCCTGGTCCTCTCAAAGAGCAGCCAGTACACATAACCACTGAGCCATCTCTGTAGCCCAATGTTTATTTTTGTTGTTATTGTTGTTTGGTTATTTTTAACATGCCTCTTTTACAAATGACAAAAGTAGAGCCCAGAAGGAACTTACCTGAGGTGACTTATTATGTTAAGGACAAGCCATATTCTCATTCAAGTTCAGATTTACTTTTTTGCTTATTTGTTTGGTGTTTTGAGATAGGGTTTATCTGTGTAGCCTTGGCTGTCCTGGAACTCATGCTGTAGGTCAGGCTGGACTTCAACTCAGAGATCTGCCTGCTGCTGCCTCCCGAGTGCTGGGATGAAAGGTATGCACCACTACTGCCCAGCCAAATTTACCTCTAAGTAGAGCTGCTACAGGGCTGATCTCTGACATGCATTCTCTCCTTTGAGCCTCACAGGAGTCCTGTGGATGCCTGCTGGAAGAATCAAACTACCAAGCTCAGAGCAAAGTCATTTGCCCAACTCTTCACCCAATGCCTTACATTAATGCCCCCCCACTACTCCATCACACGCCCAAGAAGAGACTGTTGCCTAAAGAACTAAAGCACAGACTCACAGGGTTGTGCACCCCTAGAATCCCAGCACTCAGCAGATAGAGGCAGGAAGATTGGGAGTTCAAGGTCAACATCAGGACATAGCAAGGTTTGGGTATGTGATCTTGTCTAAAACAAAAATTAAAAACAACTAACAAAATAAAACATGGAGCTGGAGGTACAGCCCAGTTGGTAGACTGCTTGCTTGGCATGTGCAGCGTCCTGGGTACCATTCGAGCACCACATATACCTGTGTGGTGATAGACAGTTACAATCCCAGCCCTCTTGGTTAGGTTATCCTTGCCTACACAGAAAGTTCAAAGCCAGCCTACGCTACACATGACCCTGTCTGAAGTAGCAAGCAAGCAAACAAACACACAAAGAAACAGAACAACCAAAAAAAAAAAAAAAACCTGGCTGGGAACCTGAATCTGAAAAATAGGCTGGAGGCATCCCTCAGGAGAGGCGGCAGTCAATAGGCTTCTGTCAGTGCCAAGGTGGTTGTCCTGAATGTGGAACTCTCTGAGAGGAAACTTCACAGAGTCCAGAAAAAGGCCGCAGAGGTGTCTGCCCCTCTCAGGTTGAGTCCACGCCCATTCGGCCCATCTTTCATCCTTGGCTATGGCTCTGGGTCTGGCTGATGAGGAGCAGCAAAGATGAAAGGTCACCTTGTCAGGTTAGAGTCTAGAGGACCACTGGGTATCTCCTGGACCCCTGGAGCCCCTCAGGGGCTCCAAAAGGAGACAGAACATGTTGAATTCCTTTGTGATTTCATATAAAAACTTTGTGTTTCCTAAGACCCATCCTTCACAGAGGAACCTGTAAGGCGAGAGGGAGGAAGGCTTTAGGCTTCTTGCCACTTCCAAGGAGCAACTCCTTCCTGGGCCCCCACACATAGCAGTAGTCTCTAGAAATAAGAACTCTGCTGTTGAGAAACTATCACTGCGGATGTTTGGAAGGTCCCAGACTAGGCCCCCTTCCTCTGTCATCTAGGATTCTGAGGAAGCTCAGCTGCACAGGCCCTCCCTACACCTACCCAGAACCACTCCCTGCTTCTCCCCAGTCACCAGCCTGGCTGCCTACAGCCTCCGAATGGGAGCAGGCAGAGCACCTCCCCTTGGCAGTGGAAGTGCTGGTGTCCCTGCAGGGCCATCCTA